TCTTGATCGATTTTGACCACCAAGTCAAATTCCTATTTTAGGTTTGAAATTGAATGAAGAGTAATACAATTAAAGTGATGGTTGATCATCTTTGACGACCAAGTCATTCCTAGTTTGGGTTTGACATTTGAATGAAGAGCAATACAATTAGATTGCATTGTATTAATTGTTATCTTGGAGGAATGGCTTGAGAGTTTCTACAGAAGGGAATATTGAACTGATGTCTAGGATAGGTGCCATACTGCCATGTAAGGACAAGTGTCTTTTATTGGTCAAGGTACCTTCGAACTTGAAGCCAGGCGCCTACTTATCATCGGGATTTCCTCGTGTTAATACGAGTTGAATTGTACATAGGTGTCAAATTCAACCCCTTTTGAATGGCTACTTCTCCGCTAAACTTGCTGCCTTGGTGTATTGTTGACCCCTGCTTACTAGAACCATTTTGATTAACCTTTTTAGTGGATTGGAGTCTGCATTTAGCTTCATATATCTTGAGCTTAGTCGGTATTGTAGCGTTGATTTGATGGATTCAATGTGTCACATCATTTTCTTGGATATAATAGTATTGTGTTCATATGACTTGCCGAGTACATGTTTCTGTTTGATGAACTATTTATTGACACTGTAAGGTTATTGAGTGATTTTTCGTGCTTGGACTGCATCATTTTCTTGGAATCGGTTGGATGAAGAGATGATATAAGAGATGTCTCGTGGAACAAAGGCTCATCGTTTCAAAAATATGCTGCAATAGCTAGTAACACACCACCTCCGACATAGAGGTTTGGCCATTATATGCCACTTCGACTAAGGTGCTTAGTTCACTTTGGCTTCCTTTGTTTGATGGTATCGGTTAGATTAGGTAAGAAAGTGGTATGGAGTCCGTACTTTAGGCGGCGTCAGATGATCAATTTTGTAGGACGAGATGTAACAAAAATAATTGAATCTTGATTTTGACTTGTCAAAAAAAATTTGATTTTTTCCCTTCGATAATTGTGTGGTACAAGTGGGAAGGTGAATGAAGTTCTGGTGATGGGAACATACTATTCGACTTCGATGGATTAGGAGATTATAAAGGTGCGTTTGGTTTGCTTTTTTAAGCCATTTCAGTTTTGTGAAACATCCAAACTTTTTTAATATGCTATTTCTGATAACATATTTTTGAAAATAAAGTTAAACTTACAACATAAAACTCAAAAGAAAATTCTGAAAACACTCAAAATATGAAAAACAAGCGTTCAAATAAAATTCTAAAATTAAAAATTTTGAAAAACAAAGATATAATTTTTTTTTGATAAATTCTAAAATATAAAAAATAAAATTTTGAAACAATAGAGTATAAAATTCTAAAAAAATTAATATTTAAAGTGGTTATAGCCTTGTCTATATTAATTTAAATTTAGTTAAATAATTAAAAGAGAATATAAATAAATTAAGAATTCAGTTATTTGGATCTTTCATTGAATCCATTTAAGTTGGGATGCTTGAACAGGAAAACAGTTCTCTCACTTCCCCTTTGATTTCTCTCTCTGGATTATTGTCTAAAATTGGCATGAAAGGACTTGGTAGCTTTCAAGCAAGATTGTTATGGCCTCTAAAAAACACTCTAAACGATGCATTTGCACCACCGCGGCACCGCCACATAGAAAAGGAACAAGGAGACAATTTAATGACTCTGGTGTATCAAAAAAAAAAAATTTATTTTATGCCAAAGATTAAGAGTGTGTTTGGTAGAGATTAAAATCGGATTAAAATTGAAAAACTAGTCTTGACTTTTATTAGACGAGTATGACCCAATAACGGTTATATTTTCAATTTTAATTAGATTTTAATTCCTCCCAAACAAGCTCTAAATGTGGGGTTAATCAAGAATTTTACTTAGGGACTATTTAAGTAAACAAAATAATAATAATAATAATAACAACAATAATTATTATTATTAAAATTGTGATGTAATTAGTAAAATATGAGGTGGTAATATAATTACTCTTTAGATATTTTCACTAAATCTTTTAATAAATCGGCCAAAAAATGACGGAAAGAACATTTTCCAAACTTAGCCCCTGTTTGGTACACAATCTCTCAAAATATATTATTTCAAAACTCATTTTCAACCACACATTTTTCAATAAAATAATATTTTTCATCACATCAATAATTTTTTTATACTTTTTAACCACATATTTCCTATCATGTCACTATTTAAAATACATTTTTTCATCAATAATATCCATCAAACACACCCTTAACATGAACAAGACTTTTACTTATTGTTGTATATTAAAGAATAATAATGTGCGCGATCTATTTTATAGTGATGAATAGGGTACATAGATGTAATCTATACTTTCGTAATTGGAAATTGTTGCACTCTATTGAGTACAATTTTTTAGATTTACGTGTAGAATATTTTATTGTATGAATGTTGAAAAAATAATTTGAAAGTATGGCTCAAGTGTAAAATAGAGATCTTGTGAGTAGGATTAATCTTGACAATCATTTATAATTTTAATTCATAATTAAAACATCTGATAGACATGAATATGAACAAGTAATAATCCCACATAGTTCATTCAATTGAAAGAGTTTCATGAAAATGCTCTAATTAAACTCTTATTTTGGTCCCAATTTTGGAATATGCTCTTTAAAAATAAAGAGTCTCTTGAAGATACTTTTAGTTTAAAAATAAGCTCCAATACATTCTCTATTTTAATTTTTTAAGAGTATCTTTAAGAGATTCTCTATTTATAAAGAGTATATTTAAATTTAGAGATTATTAAATAAAATATAAGAAGAAAATCATTAAATGTTTCATAAGAAAAGCAAAATGAAGATTCAAAATATGGAGCATTGTTGGAGCGCATAAAAAATTTGACTCTCTAAATTGAAAAATATTCTTAGATGACTTAATTTTATTTACATGTTTAAATAAATCCAAGGCCTAATTCCTAAACTATGTGGTTCAACACGTGATATTGTAATATGCGGTGTGTTTGATGCACATTTTTAGAAGAGAATGCATTTTTTTTTTGTGATATGGTGGTGAATATGTGGTAGAAAAAGACGAAAAAAATATTAATGTGATGAAAAATATTATTTTATTGAAAAATGTGTAATTGAAAATGAGTAGAAAAATGAAAATGAAAATGAGAATGTGGCTCAAACGGGGGCACGATGTCAATAGATCTTATCTCCTAACCAATATATTATTTTCTTGTCCAACTATAGAAATAATAGTAGGAGCCTCTAATGTCTAACATTACTGATTCACAAATCCCACCACGTGATTGACATAAACCTATTTAGTAATTACCAAATGAAAGAGAAATTTATGTGTTCATCATGAAAGTGGAGACTCATGGCTGTATCTCTACCTCTCAATATTATTATACAAAACATTCATACCTTTTATTTTTTACATTTTCACCCTTATTTTCAGATTTCATTGCGAAAATCATCATTTCATCCATTTTCTTAATTAAAAGGTGTGAAATGACGAATATACCTCATATTAAATAAAAGAAAAATAAAGAACAAATTGCAGTTATACTCCTAAATTTTTCGAAAAAGTAAAAATAAATCCCGAACAAATAATTAAAAATCAAAACTAAAAAATATAAAAATAGAATAACTTAGAGTGTGTTTGGTAGATATTAAAATTGGATTAAAATTGACAAACTAACCGTTATTGTTGACTTTTATTAGACGAGTGACATCTAATAACAGCTATATTTTCACTTTTAATCCGATTTAAATCCGAACCGAACACACCCTTAGTCTTCTTCCCCACCCCACTCCACTTCGCTCCTCATTTTGGAGGCTTCACGTAGTCGACGACTTCCATCTCACCAACTACCACCTAAAGCGCCGAATCTTACACCACAAACAGCCGCTATCAATCCCCAAACACTTTTTCATAAATGAATTGAACAAAAACAGATCTATATGGCCAAAATCAACAAAAAACACAGTTAGTCGCGTGCAACACGCTACCTTTTCCATCAATTTCATTGCCCATAATTCATTTTTCTCTATTTTCTTATCAACCACACATTCTCCAATAAAATAATATTACACAAAAATCTAAAACTTTTTTTTCTTTCTTAACCACACATTCTTAAAAAAAAAAAAAATTACAATTCCAAAAATTAAAATAACAAATAATGGGGGGTCAAATGGGGGCTTAATATATGGTAATTCTCGTTCCTTCAATAATTAAGCTAGTGTTTGGTCTCCATTTTGGAAAAATTATAAATTTTGGAATAGTGATTGATGGGAAAAATTGTGGTTAAAAAATAATAGAAAGTTTTAGATTTGTGTGTAATATTGTTTTACTTGAAAAATGTGTAGTTAAAATTAAGAAAGAAAAAAATTTGGAGAAAAATAATGGGTGCCAAACACTAGCTAATTATTTGGCACAAATAAATAAATAAAAATATATGTGGAATTTAATTCTTATTTTCACTTTGGTCCCTCAATCATCTCAAAATTATTAAAAGGTGCCCAAATCAAAATTCTTGGCTTCTAGTGATCCTACTTTGCCCTTGAAATTTACATTCGGCTTGTGACAAGTTTTTTTTTATGACATAGTTGTCCAGAAGTATGTTTGACTAATCATAAAGCCCCTGTTTGAAACCCGTTCTTTTGCCCAATTATCAAATTCTGCTACAGTGCACGCTGACAAGTCTCCCCCAAAGTCAACAAAGCTGTCAGGAATCCACTTTATACAAATTTCACCCATTGTAAATTTTTCCCTTTTTACCCCCACCTTGCATCCGTTCTCTCTCAAGCACAGGATACCCATTTCCTTTCTTCCTCTCCACCAGTTGCAGAAACGGGTCACGCCGAGCTCGCGAACAAACAGGCGAAAAATTGGAACCAGTTCTCTGAAAAATCCAGGTATACATACGGCATTTTGCGTTATCCCAATCGAAGACCCAACTAATTTTTCTCCTTATCGGTGTCCGTATTTACTGTAATGTTTCACCTTCTTCCCCTGTGCCATGTTCCAGGCAACGATCCGGTTGGCAGTCCGGCAACAAATCCGTCGTCTACGATTCTCCCCGTGGCAAACTTCCCCCGACCAAACGGTAATCCATTCCTCATTCAATCTCTGTGAATGAGCAAATAATTCAAAGCATTGAAAATAAGAAAGCACTTGTATGAAAATCTGGGCTTGAAAATTGATTCTTGTCTGCTGTGGTTGAAATGTTTAGTCAAATTGTACATAACATTTTAACAATTTGGGTGCGAACTGATGGAATAAAAAATTCATGGCATCATATATTTGAGATGCACGTAGAAGACATGGGATTGGACGGATCTGATGTAGCGGTGTCCGATTTCAATCTTCATGAAGGAAAAATTCTGCTCATTGTGATTGACTTAAATGGTTTATCAGTACACTTCTAATTACAATATTGGTCCAGACATTAATGCCATTTTGGCAGCCAGACTGTAAATTGTTGACTGTACTGATTTAAATATCATGAGTGCCAAGGTATATTGGTATAACATTTGTCCCTTAACGAATGCTTCGTATCAATTTCAATGTTCCTAGTCTGTACTCTGTATAATAAAAAGGAAATGTGAAGCTTTATTTCAAGAATTGACGTCTGCGCAATGAGTTCAGGAACTTCAATTATTAATTCATGTCCCGCCCCTGGAGGACTGTGAATTTAAACATACACAATAAAACCAAAAGATTTTATTATTTTTAACCAGGTCTCATCGCTTAATTTGCAACCACATCCTCTTATAAATTTACAAGACATTTTAGCTCGTGGAGATGCATAACTATATTCCACTACAAACTTGATTGTTCATTGTACAGTCCACTATTATTCAATACTAATGTTAGTGTCTTTTAATTACTTTTTTCTCAGCCTCATTATTGCTCAAACTTTGCTTCATTGGAGGATATTCCTAGAAACTAACTTAAACATTTTAATCAGCACCCAATTTAGAATTTTCCCCCTGTAATGTTTATGGATTCTGCTTATGCCTTATCAATTTGTCCTTTTTTTTTTATCAATATTACTTGACTCATCATGCGTGTTTCCCATGGCAGCGATTCGCAAGTGGGAGCCCACATCGATTGCACCCTGATTCTCCTAAGTCCCAGGCAGCCTTGGGCGTGGTGCGTAAGATGGCGAGATGGAACCAGCAGGAGCACAAAGTATTCATTGACTCCTGTGAACTTGTCATATCTGAGGGCCACCGACGAGGCAAATGCTTCTCCTCGAAAGGATGGCATCGTATATCGGACATGTTCAATGCCACAACGGGGAAGGATTGGACTACATCGCAGATGAAGAACTATTGGAATAAACTGCGAACAGATCACAAGCTTCTGTTTGAGTTGCTGCGATGCACTGGAATTGAGTACCGCTCGGGTACCGGAAGAATTCACGCCCCTGACCATTGGTGGGAAGCCAAAATAATGGTATTCGTTCACAATTTCATGAACCTAATCAGATTAGACGACAACTAGGCAGTAAAACGTTGCACACTTGAACGATATTAATGTTGTTACTTGGAGTAATTTTCACACACACGGGCTTCACATGTTGCCATTGCAAGACGTAGTTTATTCCCAGGATTTTTTCGTAATTTCATTAGTATATGATGTTCATTGTTTTGGTACTTATTCCCGACTTGCTGTTGGTGGTGATTGAACATGATGTTTGTTGTGTTGGTATTGATTGTACATTTTTAGTCCGGATTATTATTTGAATGAATGGATACATGCACATGCACAAGTGACTAATTATTTCGTACTCCAATGTTATTTGTCGTCTATCTCGTCTATGCAGGAGAACCCAAAGTATGCGAAGTTCAAGAACTTCAATTGCACCGAGATTTATGACACGTATAGCAGATTGTTCGGGGATACTGGAGACTCGACCAAGTATGCGTTGTCCCTAACAAAGTTGTCGCAGCGTGGTTTTGATTTGGGCACAGACAGCGATAGAGAATACGGAGGTGACAAGTTCCCCATTAACGCGGAGGCAACAGATTCAAGTGGCAGTCCAGTCGAAGGTCGAGCAAACTCGTCAATGAACATATTTGCACACCATAGTGGGGATAAAAGAAAAACCAAGCACAGGAAAGGGAAAGCAAAAAAGAAAATGTTCGGTGCACGCGAGGTTTCAGCGTCCCTTGAGCAAATGGCTAGTGTCGGAACGGATCTTGCTTCAATTGCACGCTCTTATCGTAAGGCAGGGATGACAATCGGTGAATGCGTTGATGAACTTCTGTCGTTTGGCCATGTTCAGGAAGGTGATCGNCTCGTACTGTGCTGCGAAGACACCTTACTTGAGATTTAAATTCATCGAGTACTGTTTCGAGCGAGATAATATGTCCATTAACCGTAAGGATTGAGCGCTCCTTCCGGCGTTTACGATGAGTTTTAAATGTTGTAGGTCGACATTTTCATGTGGACATCGTATGTCGGACATTTTCCTTTTTTTATGATTTCGTGTATCGTAGACACTTCAATGTTGTGTTACAATCTGAACTAGCTTGTCGATGTCACTTACTTCGCACGGGTGAAATGGCATGCCGAAATTTCCCATGTGTCAGTCATACATCCAAGAGCCGAAGGGAATATATTCCCCGCATCATGATCAGAATTTCTGCTTATGCTACAATTTCGATTATTATTTCCAATCCCACTGTAGTAGTCCCACCCTTTTGATGGAGCATTTTCAACAAAATAATAGGGTATAGAATAAGAATAAAATTAGTGTTTCGACATTTTATAATTTCATGCATGTTACAATAGACAATGTTTTCCAAACTTAACATTATTAGGGCCACCATCCAATTTGCTTTTTTGAAATAAACAATTGTCAAAAGACTGTACGGAAGAAAGAATGGTGATTCAAATGGAATGCATGCCACAATTACTTTTTTTGTTGTTCCAAAATTAGATGATTACTCCAACACAGGTGATTCTCTTTTTCAGAAAACCAATAGGTTATAGACTGCAGGGACTACACAATTGCGTTTGAAAATTCATGCATGCTACCATTCCTTTTGTTTGTTACTCCAGAAAAACATTATTACTTTAACACTTGTGATTCACTTTTTCAAGGAAACAATATGGTATGGACTGCAGAGAAGCAAGAATGGTGTTTGAAATTTCTTACATGATACAATTCCCTTTTTGTTTTTCCAAACGCACGTTTTTGCTCGAACGTTTTTCATGAACTTTGTCAACAGAACAATCGATTATTCAAGAACAGGATATTCCAATAATTTGCGAGACCTGTGCTACAAGTTCTATAAGAGGCAAGGACTAAGAGAAAAAGAAATTATTGCATGAGTCTGGAATAGAGTTCATAATTCTTTCAAACACTCTATCCAACTTGTGACAAAGTATTTCATACGAACATTAGAAATTGTTGCATAACATAAATTAGTTCGAGACAATGTCCGATATTTCAGATGTGTACACATCTTTAGAAACAGACTGCGACGTTCAGTCGATGTCTGATTCAGATACGAGTTCAGATGAAGATCTGATGGAGCATTTAGAAGATGACATTATCAATTGGCTCCGGTACTGTAGAATAGCACAGCGAATTGTTCGCGACTACTTGGCACCGAATAGAGCACGTAGGTTTTTATTCCCGACAACTCGAAGCAGCCACATTTTTATGCTACAAAATTTGCATGTGTATCCACAAACGTGTTTCCAGGAGTTCAGGATGTACCCGCCAATGTTTATGTACTTCACGCACATACTTCGCGACAACTACGGACTTTGCAGCAGTGCAAACATAGACATATACGAACAGG